CTAATCTTACTCCACCTCAGGACCAAGGTACAGTTCATGTGATAGTTTATCAGAGTTTTAGTTCAGCGAGAGATTTCATACACTCTTCAGTTGATAATACCTGAATGCAGGACTAGGGGGGCTGAAGCTTGAATTCTTAGTAATCCAGTTTCCGGGTATGTTCATCAGAATCCCATCCTTATTTGATCACAGGTCTATTGTACTTGCTTTCCTTCGCTCTTGAAAGGCCAGTGTACAGTGCTCATAGACTTGTTATCAACCATCATCAGCAAACATCCTTATTCATGGTGGAATCCCACAACATACAGCCTTCTTGGTAGCCCATCCTTTCTATAGAAATGCCTATCAAAATCAAGGGGATGAAAATAATTTTTCCTGCAATTAGACGACACAATCAAGACACCATGTAGTAAAAATAATATGTGCTATCAATAATATGTGGTGACATAAATGCCCAAACTGTGAGCAGAAGGATTCTCTTATCACACATTAGTCACCACAGCAGTATGTATACTTATGTACTAGTGTTAACATTAGGTGATATATCTGTTTGTTAATTCTCATTAAAATAATTACTATAATCATCTTATTATTTCAGGGCAAGTTTATCCACAATGTTTAGGCATTTTGCGTTATGTTGAAAAAATATATACTTCATGATTACTATTTAATTTCCTTGCTGCTGGTCAATCACTTGTACCTAAAAACTGAAGAAAAGATACCAACTAAAATCAGGGGCTCTTTTGCCCCTTTCAGCTCCCGTGGTGAAAAGCTTCTTCCTTTTAGAATATTTAAAAATTGGAAGTAATGAATCACGACTTTTTGCCATTGTCAGAAACGTATTAATTTTAAACATTTCTAAAAACCAGATATCATGTCAATCTTACTGAGGGTAAAATAAGTGAAAACACAAGCCTAGGCTCAGCATTTCAACATTTCTCTTGGTCACATTAATTTCAAGAGACTGAAACTCTTAAATGTGAACATCAGTGGAAATAAAACAACCCAGCTTGGAATTACTAAAGCTAAAGTCATATAAACTTTTTTTCGTTTAATGTGGTTCCTTTTTGGTTTCAGGATGGTTTTCAATTTGATTTATTTATGTTAAAATAAAAGAAAAACCTGAGAGTTAGAGGTTCCCATTAAAGAGAGTTGACTTCCTGTAAAACATGTTTTAAAATGAGCATATTTTAAATTTTCTAGAATCTTTAAATTAACACACCCAAAAGATCTACAATATTCAGCAAAACCCTGTTATATGTTTAATATTCAAATAATTAATTTATATGCCTTTCCCCCCCTCATATGTTTATAGTCAGAAACCAAGTTTATTTTAAAAATCCACTAATCTTGTGTTTTCTCCTACTAATTAAGCTGGGAATTCAAGATTGAATATTTTGAGACGAGAGGGTCATGATTCTTTCCCCACCATATTTGAAGAACACATACTGATATTTCCCTTATTCCCTAAGTAAGGCTACAAAACTCACAGTTTGGAGATGTGAGGTCAGTTGCCAACATAAGGATCTGTGAGTCTTGTCGCTTTTAAATTAGAACCAGCTAGAACAGATCTTGATATTTAAAGAAGGTAGGAACGGGAGATCAGGCTTCAGAATGAATCTCTCAGAGTTACTCTGTGTTACAACGCACTTGGATTTTGGCTGCTTGAATATTTTATTGCATTTCAAAATCTGAGAATTGAGAACAATAAAAAGAACATTTTATCTATGATAGATAGGAATTTGAAGTTTCTGGGAAACTAAGTGGTCTATTTTGTAAGTCTTTATTCATGTATGAGACACTTTCCTAGGGTCCTACTCTGTGCTGAGTGGGAAAAAAGATGAAAACGACGGAGGCTCTGCCCTATAAGCACTGATAACCCAGGACTTGAGTCAGGCGGTGGCTTATATGACATAAGTTATTATACGAAATATACACAGAAAGACATGCAACTGTTTCCCCCTGATGCAAATGAGCTTGCAGTTTATAATGTCTAGGTTAGATAGTCGTGCAAATGGCCCATACTTAACTATTTAAAAAGAAAAATAATGTAATTTTCTACTATATTTAACTTATTAGTGAGTAAAAACAAATACCTATGTCTTTTTCACCTGTAGCAGCAAGTGAAAATACATTTGTGGAATTCATTCCTTGACTCAACAAACGTATTAAATGCCTACTGTGTGTTAGGGAAGCGAAACAATGTCATTTTTTAAAAAATGACACATTCACAAATGCATGCTAGAGATAGTCTATAATATTGTCCACAAAACAAATGTAGTACAGAAAGCTCATTTCTCAAAAGTAACTAGTTAGGCTATTTACTAACATCATAAAAACTGAAAACAAAAGATTGTCACAGATACCCATGATCAAACTTCATTAATTTACCATTCTTCTTACTGGGAAACAAAACTCTAGTAAACATCTGGTGTCAGAAGTGACCAGGGCTGTGTTCCTTCACACAGATCCTTGCTAAAGGCTTAGAACTGTCCAACTCAGTAATGTGAAGCCAGGGCTATACAAAGCAAGGATAATAGTGTGCATCTATATGGTTGGCTTTGGCATGTGTGGCTCATGAACTTTATGTGACATAAAGGCTTGTGCCTGTGTATGTGTATCCTAGTGCCTTAAAAATAAAAGCCATCTAAGAGCAGGAAACACGTCTCATGTCTGCTCAGTGCAGTGCTCCATAAAGAAAGAAAGAACAACAATTCTTAGGACCAGATTCTCCATTTTATAGGAACCTGAAGGCTTAGATAGCTGACTTTATGCAAAAGATTTTTTTTTAAGAGAGAGAAAACAGGCAAATTGTATACAACCAGAAACATGAGACTAGAGAAATTTATCCTTTATCATACTGCTGAAGAAATATGAAATAGAAATAGGTATTTTCTACCAAAAAGTTCCCTTTGCTGAATTTGGCAGGAAAAAAAATACGGATGCTTAACTATCAGGAAAAAAAGTGTCTTGATTTTTGGAAAAGGGACACCAGAATGGTCCCAGCTATTCAGTGATCTCTGGGAATGATTGGCACGCAGCCGGAGTGGTTGTGGGGCTGGATATTTGTGGGGTTTATAAGAAACTGGCAGAGAAGGAACTTCAGCCTGGTGACATGTTTTGATGACTGCTTCTCTTTTGTCACATATCTAATTCCAGAGGAGGCCAACTAAAGCTATTGTGAAGTGAGAATTATCAAGTCGGTATGGTACTTGATGGCTTCATTTGGTGGTCTGATTTCAGTTAGAGAACAGAGAACAGGAACTGTTGTTCTTCTAGAAGTGAAAAGGTTTCCAAATGCAGACATGGTTGCTGCACAGTTCTTGGTGGGTCCTTCTGTATGAAGTCAGTGACCTTAGGGCCTGCCAACAGCACTGAGCCAAGGCGACATGTTGGTGTGTGTGAGAGAAGCACACAGAGCAACATGCATTTGAAAACTTCATTTTTAACTTGTCCACCACCTGATCTTTACAAAGCAAGCTGAGTTGGAGGAGCAAGGGTTTGAGCCTTTTATCTTCATCTTTCATCCTATTTCTATTCCCCTCTGATGGACATGATAACTAGAGAAACCACCATCACCGCCATCTCCTACCCCCACCGTCATCACCACCACCACCACCACCATCACCCCCACAATTATCACTACCATCAACACCACATCATCCCTACTATCATCACCACCATCATGACCTCCACCATCATCATCACCACGATCATCACCTCCACCATAACCCCCACCATTACCACCACTATCAACACCACCATCATCACCCCCACCATCCCGTTTTCCTTATGATAGAATCAGCATCAGCTACATCATCACTAACAAACACTAATTACATATTATGGTGGTGGTAGACCAAGTTAATAGAACATATTTTAAAAATCTGGTTCATTAGATAACCTAAGGTAAATTCTTCATCAATCTGTCAACAATCAAAATCAAGCAGAGACATATATGGTGTTTGTGTCCATTCCTTGGTTAGTTCAGTGTTGACTACACCATGTTTGCTGTTGTTTTCTGAACAAACCAAGTGGTACAAGAAAAGCTACGACTCTCTGAAATATGCGCAAGATGTTAACACCTATTTTTACCACAGTGTTGAGAAGACAAAGAAGATCTGAGCTGCTTTAGTTCTCCTTTTCAGTAAATTTTTACATTTTCATCAGAATGTAACATCAAATGTATACACACTTCTGTGTATGTATATGAAGTTGCAACATATCTTGACATATAGTCTTGTTTTTTTTTTTAATTGTTCTCTCTCTCTCTCTCTCTCTCTCTCTCTCTCTCTCTCTCTCTTACTAAACTGTATCTTTAATTGGCACTCTAGTTTCAAAGTTGAATGACTGAGAAAGGAAGGGAGGGAAAGAGGGAGGGAGAGAGAGAGAGAGAGAGAGAGAGAGAGAGAGAGAGAGAGAGAGATCTCTAAAAGCTTCCTCAGCTGAGTTATTCTGTCTTTTATAAAACAACTTCACATCTGGACTGATAACTTGAATTCTACCCGGTGCCATTTAAATAGCCTAAGTTATAAACCTCTTAAACTTGGGGTTTATAATAGAAACACTGACAGACCCTTAACTATAGTGCCTGTATAGTAATGAAAGCACAACTATTTCATTATAGCAGTGTCTGGCAGGGCTGCTATAATTAAGAGCCTGTCAATGTTTCCATTAAAAACCCAAATTTTAAGAGGTTTTTAACTCACATTGTTTTAAATCACATTGAGCTGAAATTTGCTGTACAAAATGTAGGACCAGATGTGTATGTGAGTTGTGTTGCTTTTCCTTTTATTTACGACTCCACCCCCAAAGAGGCAAATAGGTGAAGCTTGTTTTTAAGATTGGGTGTGAAAAAAACATGTACTGAAAAAATTATTTCCTTGTTAAAAGCAAAAGCTTCATGGAGGGGGGTGCACAGGAAATGAATTTTGAGATATTTTAAATTTTTGTTTGTACTTATTGTATTTTTTCCTTTAGAAATGCTCTCATTTGGGAAATCAAATTTGTACATATCCAAAAAGCAATGTTAAAAAAAATGGATCTTTTGATACTATGTTCTCGATACTGGTCTATTTGGAAGATATTGGCAGTGTAGGGTGCTGGAATTGATGGAAACATCTTATGTTGTATTCTTTATTGTTCAGCCGCTCTGATATTTGGGAATAATCATTTTGAACTCACTTTCGTTGGTGGGAATCACTTTTAGGCTAAAATACACCCTAAATAGGGTTGCCTAATCAAAGTCTTAGTGGTCTCTGAGGAAAACTAATGGAGCTTGGATGCTTATGTTGGTTTCATTTATGTGGTGATAGGGTTTATTCACTATTCACACAAAAAACCATTTATTGAGCATCTACTGTGTGCTGAGTATTACATTAGGACTTTTTAAAATATAGTACATTGGACTGGCTTCATTGGCCAGCACCTGTATGCCTTTGATGCTCACTTTAAGCAGCTAAACTGAGCATTTCACCTAACAGTGTTCTAACCAGAGCTCCTTGTTGTCTTCAAAGGGGCCTCTTACTTAAGTGGTGAGACTACTGCTCCCCACTCCCCATACATTATTGACTCAGTACACAGCCACCCAGTCTAAAGGCAAGTATAGACTTATTTAGAGCAGATTCAGCTTTTTCCTTCCTCCTCTGTCTCCCTCCCTTCTTTTATTTTTTGGATAGGTCCATCCAGGTATGTGAAGTAATTTGCCAGCCAGGCGAAAGCACAGGGAGCCTCTGGAGAAGTACCAGGCTGTTCCCCCAGGATCCTCCGTGGGGGAAGTTTATGCCTTTGCAGAAGGTGTAGACACTGCCCTCCAGGGGTCTCCTCAGGCCCCAGGCTCTGGATCACACTGGAAGCAGAGGAAGGAGAAATGTTAATGTGTGTGGGTAAAAACTGAAAACAAAAGATTGTCACAGATACCCATGATCAAACTTCATTAATTTACCATTCTTCTTACTGGGAAACAAAACTCTAGTAAACATNGGGGGAGGTGTTAGGAGCTTAGGGAGACTAGGGAGAAGAGAGGACTGTGGCCCTTCTGCTCACCTTTCAATTTAGGGTGCCCACACAAAGCCCATCCTCTTCCTCTCACACAACTCCTCTTCCTCTTTTTAATTAATGTTTCCTTTGTCCTAACAACATCCTAGTACTCCCACCCTCAAGAACCCCAAATGCAAAACCTATGTTAAATGTAAAATCCATATCTAAGTTTTATTTTTATTTTTATGAAGATGACTGCCCTTTATCTTCTGAACTACCTTTAGGGGGAAAAAAAAGTGAAAAAGCAAGGTGGGATATCGATTGCGTTTTTAACCATTCATTCATTCAGTCATTCATTTATCTATCTTTAAGTTTATAAAGGTGTTTCCCCCTAAAGGCAGACAGTGAATATTTTACTTTAATCTTGTAGCTTCCTCCGAGACAGACCTTTTAACCCTTCCTTCTCCGGCTCAGCCCCAGTCCCCCGCGCAAGGCAAGGCGATCCTCGGCAAGAGGGCTGGGACTGTATTAAGTCTCCCTCTTGGAGCTGTTTGTTGACCACATTCACGTTCAGAGCCCTGGAGCTAAAAGCACTTTACACCATAAAATAAAAGCACTGTCTTTTTTTTCTAAAAGGTTACGTCTGGAGGCCACGCGGCTCATACTTCATACCGAAAACTACTGAAAGAACTATGAAATCCTCTATGATTTACACTCTCTCACTGCATTAGGGTATAGATCTACTCGACTCTAAAAATACGATGAGTTTCTAACCGACGTGAATATATGTGCATTATTTCAGAAAGTCTGTTAGAAAACTTGTCAACACATTATAAAGCATAAACCAGGACTTGGCTATTAAGTACGAAGATCAGAGGCAGAATATATACTGCAGGAAGTCCTGGGGAGTCTCCTCCGCGGGCAAGATAAAAAGGGGGCGGAGGGGAGGGGAGGGGTCGTCGGTTGGCCTGGAGTTTACACACAATGTCGTCACCAAAGGTTTGGGGAAAAGCCCACAGAGCGTAATTACCCCCTCAGTGGAACCAGCAAAGGTTCTACAGCTCCAAATGAAGTTAACTGAACGGCCAGAAAATAATTTTAACGTTGTCATAATTTATTATTTTCTAAAATCCACTTTTAGAAAGGTATATATACTTATTGTGTATCCAAGTGTGCGCGTTTAAAGTGACCTTTCACCCCTCTACAAAACCACCTGCATCATTAATCAATACTTAATGTAATATTTTTAAATCTCTTAAAACAACACATTTTTATTTCTTTAAGCACACATACAAACCCTCCTCCTCCCCCACTTTTGGGCGCTTTAGCGAGCATCCAACCGCAATGAGGGAGGGGGCGTCACTCCTAGAGACTAACTCAAGGAATCCGGAGTGGGGGTCCAGGACCAGGAGGGACCAAATGCCTATACACAGCCCTGGTTTTCCGGACTGAGTGAAATAAGGCTGGGGGAGGGGCAGGAGCGGAGGGCATTTCCTATTTCACTCTGGGCATTTTATGATGGTGAAATTAAATATATGTTAATGGTGGAAACGTTGCTGCTTACCTTTCCATTGGCACCCAGGGAAAGCAGCTGCAAAACTGGGTTTTAATGTATGTTTTAAGATGTGGTTTCGGAAGGAACCCCCTGGAATCTGAAACAAGTGCAATAATATAACAGACCTACTTGTAACTAAGTGCTTAATTTCCTATGATTTAAAAAAAAAAAAGAAAATCAATAAAATGTTGCCAGTTATTTATTGGAAATAACCACAGATAGCGGCCCTGATAGGGTGCCGGTTTTAGAGAGCACACAATTGTGTAATGAATTGTAATTCAGAAGACTGTTAAATGTGAACCACAGAACCTTTCAGAGGTAATAAGTCATTACTTTTTACACTACAGCCAACCCTGAAAAGCTTTATACATACCATTATATATAAATCATACATATATATTTCCACAACACACATTCGCCCATTTATATACCTTCTCTGTGCATGGACATTTATGGATGGATGGGAAAAATATTTAAATTTGCAATGCTCTGTTCCGAAAGAATCTGACTCACTATTGTTACCTGAAGGGGTTTTATTTTATTTATTTATTTATTTTTCAAAGGCCTACCAGTTGCACTTCTTCCCTCTCCTCCCCTCCCCTCCAACCATTCTCCTCCAAGTCCCGCTGTCCACCCCACCCCCATGACATTCCTTTGGTCGCTCTAAGGCTAGTTTAACAAGACAAAAAAAAAAAAATAGTAGTGGAAGAAGCTGACCTGGTCTGAAGAACTCATGAAAAAGGGGAAATGGTGTAACGCACAAACACACAAGATACAGGGCTTTACTGAAAGTGAATCTTCCTGCTTCTTAAACAGGATTTGAGTTCCCCGCCTCCCCAAACTGGAGGGAAACAACAAACCAAATTTACACTAACCCAGTCCAGCTCACATCTCTCCTAATGTTGAGCATCAAAACCTCCTTTTCTTCCTTTTCTTTCCTTTTCTTCGCCGAGCTAGGCTAGCCGGTCATTTTCTAATAGGTTTGAAACTTTACTAAGACAACATATGAATAAACAGCCGCTTGCGGCTCGACTGGGAGGTGGGTGCACGCTTGCTAAGCCGGGGGCCCTTGCTTAAAACAATAAAGCCCCCTGCTGGGTGGGCGAATTTACGAAAAAGAAGGCCCTTAGGCTGAGGAGGGGGAAGAGAAGACACGAGGGGTTGTGGAGCCCCTGGAGCACAGGGAAGGAGAGACTCCTCGCTCTGCAGATACACACTCACACACGTCCACCTGCAGCTTGGAGTCTTGCGGGCTGCGGCCACCCGCCTCCACCCTGCAAGCTCGCGCTTCCCTTGGGCTTGAGTCCCTTTTCCTCTCCCCCTTGCCCTTCCGGATTTGCAATCGCAGAGCGGTCTCCGCGGCGGCGGCTGAGGCTACAGGGTGGTGCAGGCAGGCAGGGAGGCTGGGAGGCGGGAGACGCCGGGGGACTTTGCAGGCACGTTTCTGAATAAACTTTCCAATCGCAGGGGGTGCTGTTGCTGTACATTTCACGTAAAACTGGAAGTATCCCACGCCAGAGTGAAGCCCGCTTTTTGACAGCGGCAGTGTGTGTGTGTGTGTGTGTGTGTGTGTGTGTGTGTGCGCGCGCGCGCGCGCGCGCATTAAAGAGACAGGGGTTTATTTCCAACAGGTCTTCCCTAATTTCCCGAGAACGTCTGCAGAAAGGCCAGAGGGGGGCTGCCGGTTCCAGGGTGTGCGCCTTGGCCCGGAGCGCGCGAGGAGCGCGGCGTTGACCCCTGGCGGTCACCCCGCCACCATGGCCTCTCGGTAGCTCCAGCGAGCCAGTCGTTCTCTTTCCATTCCCCATTTCCTCTCCCCGGGTAACAGCACAGGAATAGTTGTGTCGTGCCCGTAAGAAACATTTTCTTTCTATTCCTCAGTGCTTTTGCAGTTGCCCGGGAATGGGAGGGGGTGTGTCCATCCCTGGGACCCGGCTTGGGGACCTCCCGCGGCGCCGGGAGCACGTTCCCAGGGATTGGAACTCCCTGGACTGCAGATGCTTTGTCCTCTGGCCTGAGGCCGCTCGGTGAGGTGGACGCCTCGGCGCCTCCTTCACCCAGGGCCCCGGCGCTCCCCTCCGGGGGCCGGAACATGCCCCCAGTCTGGCTCCCGGTTCTTTATTCCTCGGCCTCTCTCTCTTTCCGCGACCCTAGGGAGATTCGATTCCGTGCTTCCAGACGCAATCGTTTGTCCCGGCGCGTAGAACCAAGGCTCCCTCCCACCCCCCGCGCTTGGGCTTGGGGGCGCTCTCCCAGTCCTCCGGCCCGGGCCTGCACCACTCTCCTCGCCCTGGCCCCTCTCTCCAGGCCGCCAGGGCTCCGGGAAGCCCCGGTGCTACCCTTCCGGACCCGCCACCCTCCAAACTTGGGCTGGACTCTGCTTCGCCGCGCGCTCCCTCCCACCTCCCCTCGCCCGCTGCAAAGCTGTAACTTGGAGGCTCAGCTCTCAACTTCGGGTGATTTTTCTTTGCTATTCTCTCCTTGGGCAAAGTTTCCCGACCGCAGCCGCGGGCTCAGGGCTTTCACTTCGGCCCCGGCATCCGCACGCGGGGAGAGAGCGCAGCGGCAGTAGTGAGGAGAAGTGGGTGTGCGCACGGAGGAGGGTGTCCGGGAGCAACTCTACCTGGCTTCCCTCCGCCCGCGCTTCCTCGGCCCCGGGCTGCAGCCTCCCGGTACACTCCAGCTTTTTAAAAAATAATCTTTCATTTTTGGGGTGCGTGTGCGGGGAGGAGGGAGCACGTCTTGCTTCCTCCACCCACTACCCCCCCCC